ACTTTTTGGGCAGCTGCAGCACACTGCTGGCTCATATTTAAGTGATTATCCACTAGGACTCCGAGGTCCCTCTCACAGTTACTACTATTGAGCAAGGTACCCCCTATACTATACCTGTACATTTGGTTTTTCTTGTCTAAATGTAGAACCTTACTTTTTTCACCATTGAATTTCATTTTGTTAGATAGCGCCCAGTGTTCAAGTCTGTCCAGATCCTCCTGTATCCTAAGCCTGTCTTTTGGAGTGCTGGCTATTCCTGCCAGCTTGGTATCGTCTTCAAATTTGATGAGTTCCCCATCTATCCCCTCATCCAAATCGTTGATGAAGATGTTGAAGAGCACTGGGCCCAGAACAGAGCCCTGGGGCACCTCACTACACACTTCCCTCCATGTAGATGCGGTTCCATTGAGGGCCACACGCTGAGTACGGCCAGTCAGCCAGCTACGAATCCATCTGGTGGTGATGCTGTCTAACCCACATTTTTCTATCTTATCAAGTAGTAGATTGTGATCTACTTTGTCAAATGCCTTACTGAAGTCCAAGTAAATTATATCCACAGCATTCCTCTGGTCCACTAATTTTGTCACTTGGTCAAAGAATGCAATAAGATTTGTCTGGCATGATCTGTTTTTGACAAACCCATGTTGGCTTTTAGTATTGACTTTGTTTGCCTGTAGGTGTTCGCTGATTCGTTGTTTGATTATCTTTTCCAGAATCTTCCCAGGTATTTAGGTCAGGCTGATAGGTCTGTAATTTCCTGGATCCATTTTTTTTTCCTTTTTTGAAGATGGGAACTACATCAGCTCTTTTCCAGTCCTCTGCTAGTTCCCCAGTGCTCCAGGATCTTTGAAAAATATACTTCAGTGGTTCTGAGATCACATCTGCCAGTTCCTTGAGAACTTTGGGGTGTAATCCATCTGGTCCTGGTAATTTGAACTCGTCTAGGCTGGACAGGTGCTCACTTACCATTTTCTTGCCTACCTTAACTTGTGTTTCTATTCTGTTTTTTATGGCACTATTTTTGATAGGTTGGTCTGTTTTTTCCCTCTGTGTAAAGACAGATGCAAAAAATGAGTTAAATAGTTCTGTTTTCTCCCTGTTGCTTGTCACCTTCTTGCCACTTTCATCCACTAATGGACCAATCATTTTCTTCACTTTTTTCTTGTTTTTTATATGTTGAAAGAAGCTTTTTTTGTTATTTTTTACTTTGGTTGCAAGCCTTAGTTCATTTTGAGCCTTAGCTTTCCTCACTTCATCTTTGCAGGCTCGGGCTATTTGCTGATATTCTGACTTAGTTATGTGTCCCTCTTTCCACTTTCTATACTTGTCCTTTTTGTCTTTCAATTTATCAGAGAATTAATACTGTCTGAGAGATAATACTGAGTTAAATGGACAAAGAGTTGAATCAATCTGTACAGGTGAGCTAATCTGGCTTCATAAACAAGGCTTACCTTTCCATGAAACTGAGGCACTTTGGATCCCTCCTGGAGATAAAGTCCCACAGTCAGCCACATACATTCATATTTGCAATCATCTCTGCAGGTCCACCCTAGAATATAAAAGAGTGTAAACCTAGTAAAATTAGGGTACGTAATATATTTCGGTAACACTTTATAGCAGTGTATTACTGCAATTTATTCTGAAATAATGTGATAGAAATTAAGATACTCAGATTTGCATAGCATATTTTAGTTCATTAAAACAATCATTTTTAAGGTATGGTGACTTGTCTCGTTCTGATTTTATATTGCTCTTCCCAGGTTTCTGTGGCTGAAACTAACGTGTCTCATGTTTCTTGCTTTTGTTTTTAAGATTCCACCACGCATTTCCAAAATGGTCTTACGGTCTTGACAATAATGGAAACTAAAATCCAAACACCATTTTAGAATCATGATCTGATATCCAGTATGGATTTCTCAGAAATAAATGCTTATTCAGAAATTGAGTCTGATATTGGGATATCTAATATTTGGGAAAAGGCATTATTTTATTGATTAATTAATTTTATGACCAAAAATATAAAACAAATATATAATATAGGATATAAGTCAAGATAAAATAGGAAAGTAAAGTAATAAAATAGCTATGTGTAAATACATCATCTTTAGAGGATACCCCAATCTGTTTGAAATAACTGGTCTTTCAGTCAACTGCCTTAGCAATAAACTTATAAGTTCGGTTCATGAAATATAGATTAGAACCCAGGAGGAAACAGGACAATCTGCGACTCAGACCCCAGTAGGCTCTTCCTTCAAGTAGGGATGTTAAGTATCTAAGCCTAAGAGGGGCATAGAGTTGACAATCAAACAAAACATTGAGCAATATCTTCAATGGCTGGAGTACCACATATACATGTGCTCTCATGATATGGCAGGTGGTGGAAGTATCCCTATTGGGCCATGCAATCCAACAACTCAAATTTGGCTCTAGATAACTGGGTCAAACTCATTGACAGGTATTTTTTCAAACTGAAAAATAGTCTTGTTTTTAGCTAACCAACTTAAAGATCTGTTTGTTACCAATAACTCCATCATTTTGAGTGTTAATATCTAGGACTCTCTTTAAAAATTCCCCTTGCTTGGCTGGTAGTTGAGAATAAAGGAAAAGGGAGTAAATAAATTTTTGTGAAAAATACTTATATTTTGTACTCTCTGTACAAAGCACTGGGAAATAAAACAACCAAATCTGAATGCCAAGATCCAGATCACCACAAAATGGTTGCAAAGAGTTAAGCGGATTTTTGTGGTCCATGTCCAGGGATTTCGAGCAGGTTGCCATTAGTATGTTGATTATATCCAGGTCTATTTCTCTTTAACATCAGGTAATGATGGGGGATCTCAAATGTTTGCCTGAAATCAATAATAAACTAGATGAGGAACAATACATTGAAAATGAATTTAGACCAGACGAAGATGTTCGTTGTGAAGATCACAATTTGAGAAGTAGTAGTTCTCCTTGTCCTAAATAGGAGTGCATTTTCCCAAAAGGAGCCGATACAGTTGGGGATACAGCTGGGGAATATTTGGGCATCTGGGCCTCTCTTTAACTTCAGGCAACAGACAGGGACAATATTTAGCCACTTCCTCTGATAGGCCTACTGCATTCCTTCCTGGAAGAAAATGATTTTGAAACAGTGGTGCATATCCTGGTAATCGGTAATTGCCAACTTTACTCCTATAATGGTTGTATACATGGAGCTAGCTGCCTTTGTGCCAAGTTGAAAAACTTCAATCAGTATAAACAGTGAATTGATCGGTGGAAGACCTCAGAGAGACTTCAACACAGCAGAGCTGAAAACAAGTATGTCTCAGGATGAAATACAAAGTGATGTGTAGACCTTTTAAAGATCTACTTAGGGGATCCCATCTTTCTTTATAATGCATACACACAAGACACAGTGATAATCTGAGGAGGCTCATCTACGGTTGCTATAAGTCTGTTTTGTAGCTGCCACAGTTTTTTAGAAGACTTTTTTTTTCTTTTGGGAAAGTGTGAGGTTTTGAACTACCACACCGATAATGGATAACTTGAATATAAGTATAAATGAGGTAGAGCATACTTCCCTCAGTGTGACTGTGGGGTCCTACGTCAAACTGTAGATCACATGGTGATCAGCTGTAAATTGAGGGCATATACTGGTCCAGCATCTGATTATTTTTTCCCATAAATAATGCTATATTTCAGTGATTAGATGGCCTAGACATTGGTATCTGAATATAGATCTTTTTAACATTCATATTTTACTGTGTTTTTAATCTAGATGAAATGTTAATATATATTGCAAGTCCATGTATGATATGCCATATGCTAAATAAAATAAATAAATCAAACCTCACGAAATGTGCCTAATGCATATGGTATATCCATTAAACTCACATTTGGATATGTATCCTCTACAAGTAGTTAATGTTACATCTCCTATACAATTGTCACCTCTAATTTTAATTGATGACTTTGTTTCACTTTGGAATAGCACACTGCAAGAGAATTGAAATACTTTGTTTCTCAGCCAATGCACTCATGATGATGGAATATGAACACCCAAAGGCAATCAAGGTACCAAGGATTTGGAAGGTCAATCAGATTTCACTGCCATATCCAAAAATGTCTTCTTGGAAAATAGCTTGCTTTTTCCCCCAAGCCAGTTAGATTATTTAAGGCAAGGAACAAATCTCAAATCCCAAAGAGCCTTAATTCTGACAATTTCCAACAGCAAGTTTTAAGGGCAAATTATATGATATCCCATCTGAATAAAACTCTGTGGTAAAAGAGCTGCTGAAACATAAACTTGTATTTTTTCTATACAGTATTGCCCTTCTTATAAAGATTCCTAGTTGCAGCTAGTAACTCCCTGCCTAGTTAGATTTCCAAGTCACACAGATCCATTTTATTTACTGTTGTGATTCTCTGAGGAAAGTGGGTTGATTTCTCTAAACATAGCTAGGTTTTGTTTTGCTTTAAATAAAATAGCCATCCTTCAACCATCTCAGTTTTATCATTATTAAGTTTTACAATTACTTTTATTTACTGCCTCAGAATTTGTTTTTAATTTTGTACTAGTCAATGACTGTTACAGAGTTTATTATTACTATGTCACAGCAGCCCTGAGAAGTAGATTAAGGCTGAAAATTATTTTGTGAGTTTCATAATAAATAAGGATTTGGAACTTGATCTTCTCATTTCCAGTCCAGCACTCTAAACATTACAATACATTTACTTGGGACAATGGTTTATTTTTTTTAAACTGAAATTGCTGAGTACATATTTACAGGATCCAATTGTATGTACGGTAAACCTTTTCTACTATTCACAAAGAACTGATTAAGGAACTGTGATTTGTTTCATATAACACTATAACCTCAAATGAACTTAATGGCTGATAAAGGGCTAAACTGCATGGACAGGATTTTACAATGAGATATTTTACTACAGTAGTAAAATCCATAAAGAAATCTGGGAGAAATAAATTCAATCAGGAAAAAGCCAACTGGGAAATATGTCTACTCAGATAAGCTTTAAAAACATTAAAGCAGGATTATAATACTAACCCAAAGTGCACTTAAACAATGGCTTATTATATTCCCCAATTAGCTGGTTTGGCTCAACACATTGCACCATAAACTAAATATACTTACTATGCTCATGTAGCACACTCAGCTATAGACTGAACAGTATGATCTTCAGGGTGAGTCTGACTCCCAGGAATAGAGAAATTAAATACACAGGGAAACATTTTATCAGCAACACAGAAGTAGTTTGCAACTGTATTCTTTGGGGATATTTTTCTGACATCCCAGTTTAGTCTACAGCTAAAGTATTCAATGGAAGTCTCCCACTCTAGTACGAGTAGTCTTCAACTTACAACCGTCGGTTTAAAGACCATTCAAAGTTGCAATAGCATTGGGAAAAGTGACTTATGACTGGCACTGGCACTTATGACCATTGCAGCATCCCCACCGTTACGTGATTTCAGCACTTATCAACCAGCAAGTATTTACTCAGCATCCTGGAGTCATCTGATCATCATTTGTGACCTTTCCAGCCAGCTTCCAAAAAGCAAATCTATGGGGGAAGTTAGATTTACTTAACGATCATGTGATTCACTTAACAATTGCAAGTAATTTGTTTAATAACCATGGCAAAAAAAGATTGTAAAATCAGGTGGACTAATTTTAACAATTGCCGTGCTTAGCAATGGAAATTCTGGTGCCAAGTGTGGTCATAAATTGAAGATTACCTGTATTTCCTGTTTGGCAGTTGTTCTGCTCCTTCTGACACATTTTGCTAAAAATTTGTCAGTAATACTACTTTGAGTTCTTATAAGCTCTGTTTAAACTTTCTATCACTGACAGATGAGGCAGCTAAATGATAGCAGCCTCTTTTTAAATTGATTTTGCCAAGCATCAAGGTTTTTATTAATTCTTATTTTTTTCATTATATATTCGAAATACGGTAGTTAAACTTTAGTTTCATTATTAGAATCTCCAAGGAATAGTTTGATTTTACTTCATCTATGGTACAGCATATTAACAACAATATTCTCAAGCACCGCAATTCAAAAACACCATTTTTTTCATTGTTTGACTTGTTTAATTATCCAACTGTAGACATGTTTCAACTGGGATAACCATGGCTTTCAAAACACACGTTTGTGGCCGGTGTGATGTCCCACATTTCAAATTTTGCCTAGATATGTCATAGACCTTCTCCCAAGTAGATATTTCCTTGTTACATGATTACAATACTTGCAAATCTTCAAGCCTAGGAAGATAAAGTATGTTATTACAGTACCTCAGCTTCTTCTCTGCCTATTTGCATTGGGATGGTACTGACAAACTTTTAGTCTCTTTAATACCAAGTTGCAGATCAATTTTTGCATTTTCTTCTTCAAGAAGAGATTCCTTTAAACTTGTTTTCCAGCCATCAAAATGGTATTGACATCAATGTATCTGAGGTGACTAATTCTTCAAGTAATTTTAATTCAGATTCTATTTGTTCTTACAAAACGTTACTCACAATATATTCTGCATATATTAAATAAATAAGGTAAAAGAATATACTATTCTTAATTTTGAAGCATTTAATTGCTCCGTACTCCATTCTAACAAATGGACTGCTACATCAATATTTTTAAGGGTTGTCCATAATTTGTTATAGAATAGAATAACTTTATTGTCACTTTAAATGTACACTAATCAGCATACATTAAAATGAAATTTTACAGCTCTCAAAGGGTCACCACCTCCAATATACACTACATGAATATGATGAACAAAATTGCATATACCCACATATATTCTATGACACAGAGAAACAACACCATCTAGTTCAGATGTATACATGTACATGGAGAGAAAAACATGTTGTGTTGTGGTCTACATAAGCCCAATTCAGCTTATCTTCACAACCCTGAAAAGCTAGTCAGGTGTTGCCATTGTTAGCATCCCACACAAATTGGTCAATCATATTTTTACCAATCATTGTGAATTTAACATAGTTTTCTTATTTGAAGGTTAATCAACTTGAAGGTTATAAACTATTCAACCACCTAAAAATGTATCAACTTCATTTCTTTGAAATTTTATTAGATCCTTATTTATTTTTCCAGGCAAGGAAATAAAGATAGATCTGCAAGAGATCTTCTCTGCACATCTTATCACAATTTGAAGACCTAATTGAATAGATGTGACACCAGAATACATAGTGGTGTGCACACAGTGCATAGTGGTGTGCACACAGTGCACTACAACAAACACTAGATTGAATATGATAGCCTTCCTGCCTCACTGAATCCCATGAATATTGGCTACTTCTAGAGATTATTCCTGTCAATGTGAGAACATGCCCCACAGACAGTCAGATACTCGCTTCTCCAACATTACTACGGCGACCCAAGGAAGAAGTGACAGCGGGAAAGCATCCAAAAAGTCTTGAGAAGATCAAGCTGGCAATACCACCAAAGGAACAACCTGCCTGGGAAGCACTGGGCGGGACCTTCCCGATGGGCGGGGCTATGCAAAATATGCATTCCGAAAAACCCGCGCTTGATCCCCGGTGTGGGCGTGGCCCTGCCTCGGCGTAGGTAAATCTCCGCGGGGCCGTTCCGTACCTGTGAGGCTCATGTAGAGTGGCTGGCGGGAGCGGAAGTGCCGCAGCCCGGCCTCGGAGCAGTTGCGCCTCTCGCAATGAGCCACGCAATCACGGTAGACGGGCTCTCGGTCCCCCCGTGAGCCTTGGGAGGGGACTGGACCCACTCCCGCTGCTCCCAGGAGAAAGAGCAGCGCGGTCCGAGCAGCCATCCCGCCTCTGGGGAGCTCTGAAGCTCCACTTCTGGGTTGCGTCGGAAATAATCGTTATCTTCGTAAGCGAGGGAAACCACAAAGTTGTGGAAACCCGAGCTGCATTCTCAAAGTTTCCGTGAGGGCAAGGGGTTGTGGGTAATGTAGTTTTCCTTTTATCCGCTCGTTTAACGGAGCGGATAAGAAAGTGTTGGAAACGTTGAATTGAAAAAGGCGCTCGCCTTTAAAAGCTACAACTTGAGCGGAGGAAAGTTTTCTGAAGACAGTTTTTAATTATTTGGGGCTTATATTTTGTTTTCGGTAAGCAAAACGGTTTATAAAGCATTACAGTGTGGTTAAACAAATAAACATGTAATTTTTCTAAAATTTTCTAGGTTTTTTCCCCCACCTAATTTATCATTTCAGCAGTAATTAATGCAGAGGAATTGGCTGGGAGGAAAATATCGATTTAGTGAAAACATTTTGAAACCCTTAGTCTGAACCAGGCAGATGTAGGTGTTAATTAAGAAAGACTTGCATTTGTAGATGCTGCTACAGTTATTGCACTTCTGTCTGCCATGAAACCTGTCATTTCAGATACTGGAGATGCTCTTCTTGATAATTGATTGGAAGTTAGATGTATGTGTTATCTCACTCACCTAAAGAATAAATATTACTGCTGGCTTAGTTGTTGAATTTTTTAATTAGTGCAATATAGAATTACAGGGACACACTATAGATACAATAGTGCTAGTTTTAAAATGTATCCTCAATTCTATTTGCAAAATATTAGAAGACAGGCATGCTTTCTTGCCTTCAATATTTGTATGATAAATAAATAGAAATGCAAGAGATCCACTTCCCATCAGTACATCTGTAAGGAAGGAGATGCTGCTATAATTATTGCACTTCTGTCTGCCATGAAGCCAGTCGCTGTGTAGGAATCCTACCAATATTTTGATTAAAGGGATAAAACTATTAAACTCACTTGCTCCACTCTTCCTTTTTAGTTCCAAAACAGCCATTCTGAATCTGGTCCCCACTCAATGCAGTGATCAACTTCTTGCTCTATAGGTAAGATGGATAAGGAGAACTAGGTAGCAAAAAAAAATATGCATCTGAGAATTGTAGCTGAATTTAAAGATCAGAGGTCCCTGTTATCTCTCAGAGCTGGTTCTAACACTACAGGCCTGGCAAATTATGACGGGAATAGTTTAGCACTTCACCTCAGCAGCAAAAGTGTTGTGTGTTGACCCTTTTGATAATGGCAGTTATAAAGCAATTAAGTGATTATGTTTAAACTAGTCTCTAACCGTTTGTGTATTGTTACAAGCCGCACTTTAGGTGGCAAATAATGCTTTAAATTCATTGGTTGCTGCGTAGTGGCAGTCCGGTATAACTAGAAGCCAAGCGGCTGTTAGAGTCGCTTCTGTGTTGATTCAAATAAAGAACTGTTACTTTCACTCCTGTCTCTTCAATGCCTCACCGATCCCAGTATACAACAGTGGTGATGAAGGTGGGATATGCTACTAAGGAAGAAAGAGCCAGAAGTCACTAAGGGGTAAGACCAGGCATCAGCGCCCTGGTAGGAACCGCGTTCCCCCCTTCTTCCTGCCAGCAAGCCACGCTGGAGGCATCACTATCCTGAGGGATCCGTCCCCAGGATTCGTATAGAAGCCCTTAGCAACATAAGGCATTGAATAGACTCAACGACAGTCAGCTATGGCCAAGGTTGGCAAGCTATCTGAATTTGACGTTTCGCACCCAGAGCAATGGAGCTCTTATGTCTCCAGGGTGGAAAATTACCTGAGAGCAAACCAGGTGAGGGAAGACAGACTAAAGGCTGCTACCTTGCTATGCGTATATGGTCAGGCGACTTTTGACATAGCAGAAAATCTATTCGCTCCAGCCAGCTTGGAATCAGTTACCTACACTGATTTGAAGAGAAGGCTTAAAGAACACTTTGAACTGAGACTGTCCATCATTGCATGGAGACACGTGTTTGAGCAGAGAGAACAGCAGCCTGGGGAGTCAGCTGCTGAATTTGTGGCTGCCCTGAGACAGGCGTCCAAACTGCGAATTTCCAGATTTAGAGGATCGGCTCAGGGACTGATTGGTATGTGGCCTAAGAAGCAGAGACTTACAGCAGAGGCTGTTTGCAAAGGAGACCTTGACGTTCCAGGACGCATTGAAAGAAGTGATTGCAGAAGAGGCCGCTGGGGGAGCAGTCAAGGCTTTACGACCCTCAAAGAATTCCCCCAGCCTGACAGCTGTTCATCACGAAGATACAGAGAGAACAGAGACCCAGACGAGGATGTTGAGATCGACCGGGTGTAGAAGCTACCAAGAAGAAAGCAGAGGCCAATTGACAAGGCAGCTTTCTTTCCTAGCTGTGCTGGCTGTGGAGAACGGCACCCAGCGATCAGAGTGCAGGTTCTGCTCGGTTGTATGCCGAACCTGTGGCAAACGGGCACATCGCCATCATCTGTAAAGGTCGCCAGATGGAATCTCCACCTGAAGACTTCCCCAGGAGAGGTAAATGGCCCCGGGGCAAAACAGAGTAGGTTATTGCTCTGGAAGGAGGAACATTTTTAGAACGGGAGCCCATCGCTCCCTCAAAGATAAGCTAAGACTCAGGGTCAGGCTACAAGGAGTTCCAATGCTCAATGGAACTGGACACTGGGTCAACCCTGTCCATAATCTCCTACAAAACTTTCACTTACGTCTGCAGACATGGCGGGAAATGAGTCAGACTCAAGCCGTCAAATCTAGGTTGACAGAGTTTCAAAATTCCCATGTAGTGGTTAAAGGCGAAGCTACGTTAAAAGTAAAATCCAAAGAGTTTGAGGGTTCCCTCAACATCGTTGTAGTCAAAGGCCAGCACACAAGCCTGATCAGCCTGGACTGGTTTGATGCCCTGGGCATCCATGTGACTGGCATCGACAGAACTCAAACAGGTGATTTAGCAGCTGTCTGCCAGGAATTTGCTGATGTATTCAGCCCCAGCTTAGGCAAATACAAAGGAGCACCAATTGCCCTCCACCTTGATCCAACCGTAACCCCAATCAGGATCAAGCCTCGCAGAGTGCCTTTTGCCTTAAAACCTAAAATAGATGCAGAGTTAGACAAGCTCGTTCAGCAGGGAGTATTGCAACCAGTTAATAGCAGTGTGTGGGAAACCCCCATAGTCACACCAGTTAAGCCTAATGGAGAAGTGCGCATCTGCACTGATTATAAGTGCACCATTAATAAGGCACTTCAGCAGCATGCATACCCAGTCCCCATAGTTAGCCACATCCTGGCATCACTATAGGGAGGTCGTCAGCTGGACCTGGCACAGGCATATCAGCAACTGCCTGTGGATGATGCCACTGCAGAGGCACAAACTATAGTTACGCATAGAGGGGCATTCAGAGTTCATCGCCTGCAGTTTGGGGTGAGTGTTGCCCCAGCGCTATTTCAAAGTGTAATGGAATGCACATTCAAAAATATTACTGGAGTGTGTCCTTACTTTGATGACGTTCTTATTGCTGGGGAGTCAGCTGAAATGTTAGCAGAACGTTTCAGAGCAGTTCTCCAATGCTTCCATGAAGCGGAGTTTAAGCTTAAAAGATGCCAGATAGGTGTGAACTCTACTGAGTTTCTTGGATTCCGGATAGATGCTGCCAGAATCCACCCCACTGACTCAAAGCTTAAGGCTACATTGCAGGCTCCCAGACCTAAGTCAAAGGGGGAGCTGCAAGCATTTTTAGGGTTACTTAACTTCTACCATGCCTTCCTCATAAGGCAGCATAGGCTCTTGGATAAAAGGGCACCATGGCAGTGGACTAGCGCCCACGAAAAAAGTTTCAAATCAATCAAATCACTGCTGTCATCAGACTCAGTGTTAACACATTTCAACAAAAAACTGCCTATCAGTATTGCATGTGATGCTTCATCATATGGGATAGGAGCAGTTTTGAGTCATGTAATGGCAAATGAGCAACAAGCACCCATAGCGTATTATTCAAGGACACTTTCCCCTGCAGAAAGAAATTACGCACAAATTGACGAGGCATTAGCTATAGTAGCTGGAATAAAAAAATTCCACAATTTCCTTTATAGTTGCCCGTTTACAGTCTTTACAGACCACAAGCCTCTTCTAGGTCTGTTTACTGCAGACAAGCAAATTCCTCAGATCCTTTCTTCTAGGATGCTGAGGTGGTTAATTTTTATGGCAGCCTACAATTACAGGCTAGTCCATAAGCCTGACAAGGAAATGGGCCACACTGACGCACTCAAAAGACTGTCCCTGCCTAAATCAGAGCCAGACTGCACCTGCTGCACGTATCCTGGCAATCCAGGATCTGCCAGAGTCTCCCCTTCACGCTGGGGATGTGGCTGCTGAAACAGCCACTGGCATCATCGGCTGGCAGACTTTTTGCTCTGCCAACACACAACTCCGTGCACTTCAACGGGATGCAGCCCAGTGGAACTGAGATGGGGACGTTGGCTGACCACGAAGCTGGACCATCTCCATCCGGACCGGGCAGCTGCGGAAATAGCACAACCCAAACCCCCGTGGAAATTGCAAATAGGTGACAAAAGTTTGGGTGAGGAACTATGGTCAAGGGGCACCGTGGGTGGTAGCTGTGGTTAGTAAGGTATCAGGGCCACTGTCATACGAGGTGGCCCTGGAAGATGGTCGTGTGGTTTGGCGCCACATCGACCAGTTGCAATGGTGGCAGGCTAATCAAACCCTGACCGTTGACAGTAAGGAGAGCTGGTGGTGCCAGGTGATTGCAACATACCTGAGTCCCCTGATTCTTGTGAGCCTCGCAGGCAAAGGCAAGGTGACTTAGCCACGTCTGAGTCACCGCAAACTTCAGAGACTATGTCAACAGAAAGGGATTTGTTGACGGACTTGTTTCCCAGACTGTCAGTGGGTGATGTGAGCACCGGTTTACCCAGCCAGGACATTCCGAGAGGCACCGGTCTGCCCAGCAAGGACATTCCGAGAAGCACCGGTCTGCCCAGCCAGGACATTCCGAAAGGCACCGGTCTACCCAGCAAGGACATTCCGAGAAGCACC